CTAAACAAAAGTACGGGCAATGGACTTTTTTCTTACGATTCCCTGATGGTCTGCATGTAATTCTTCTAACACTTGCTTGTGGAGTTCAGTGGGCACTACTATCCTTGCCCCTCTCAGTATGCAACCTTTTTCTACCGAGAACTCGCCCCATCCATCTACAAAAAGTTTAACTTTAGCCTGAGTGCCTTTACCAGATACTGAGCCTTGCAATAGCTCTGAGAGTAATGGATCTTTCCTTGTGAATGATACAATTTGCTGGGAAGTAATAGGTGGTTGATGAGCATCTATCAGCATAACACAAGCTACTTCCTGAACATCTGGTGCCCTATCCACTGGCAAACAAGACAATGCATTTGCATTCTCCATATATGTGGTGGACCTATATTCCAGGACATAGTTGTATGCAACAAGTACTACTGACCATCTCTGTAGTGTAGCAGCTACTAATTTTGTTAATCCACATTTTGGTCCCTTAATATTCAACAATGGTTTATGATTAGTAACTTGTGTGAACTGTTTCTTACCATAAAGATGCATGTGGTACTTCTTTACTCCATATACTAAAGCAAGTGATTCTATATCTATCTGAGAACAATTTGCTCAATCTGAGAACGATTTGCTCAATAATCTAGAAGAATAAACAATAGGTTTCTCAATGGCATCCTCTATAACGTAAACTAACACAACGCCCAAGCCTACCTGCGAAGTATCACATACTAATCTAACAGATAAATCTTGGTTATAATGAGTAAGAAATGACCTTGAGGTTATTTCCAGCTTAATTCTATCAAATGAATTCTGGCAATCTCTGCCCAATCCCAACCGACATCTTTAGCTGTCAATCTGTACAATGGGCTTCCAATAGTTGCTAAATCCTTTACAAATTTACCATAAAAAGTCACTAAACCCATGAATGACTGTAACTCTTACATTTCTTGGAACTTTAGCTGCCTGTACTGCTCTCACTTAATCATTAGTCTTATGGATTCCATCTTTATCTAACCTAAACCCTAAGTACTCAAGAGAGGTAATCTGGAAAAGACACTTATCCTTATGGATCTTCATTCCGTTCTCCTTGATTCGTTTTAATACTGCTATTAACCAGTCTCGGTGCTCTTTCTCATTTTTACCAGCTACCAAGATGTCATCTACGAAGCAAAACACATCGGGTAGTGCATGAAAGATCTTATCCATAGTTTGTTGCCAAATTACAGGACTGGATGCTATAGCATAAGGTAGTCATTTAATAAATAGCCCCAATGGAGTATTTGATGTACAATATTCTTGTGACTTTTTGTCCATCTCTAATTGTTGGAAAGCAGTTTTCAAATCAATCTTAGAAAATACACTTCTCTGGCCTAATACAGCTGACATATCTTGTACATTGGGCAAAGGATGCTGAGCTACATGTAGATTTGGGTTGACACTACCCTTGTAATCACCACATAACACAACACCCACCTTCTTGGCTACTAGTACCAATCTGAATATATTACTTTTTGCCATAACCCTGTTTCTTCTTGTTTCCGGATTCACTGCTACTTTCAGAGCCTAAGGAATCTGTCTCGGAGCGAAGAACTTAGGTTTTGCATCAGGTTTTAATATGAGTGTAGTCTTGGCATTTTCACTGTTCCCGTTGCTTCAGTAAATATGCTACTGGACTGGCTCAAAACCTCCTTTATGGTTTGCCTCGCCTTAATATTGGAAATCTGAAATATTTTTTTCCCCAATTTGAATTAATTCAGTGTAACCATTCGAGACCAAACAAAGGTTCACTGTTATTCTTTACAATTGTTACTACCAGATATCTAACAACTTGCTCCTCATACTTTACAATCACCTTAACAGATCCTACCATTGGAATTCTTCTTCCATTATAATCAGTTAATGATTTGTCAGAACTATCAATTTGGATACCAGAAATTTTAGGAGCAATCTCCTCTGGTAGGACTGATACATCTGCTGCGGTATATATCTGCATCATGATCGGTGTATCATTCAAATGAACCTCTATCATCTTCCTCCTGTTTGTCTTCTGCATTCTACTTATTCGCAAGACAAACTCTGAGTCTGATCTAGGATCATCATCAACCTTACCTGCGGCATATCTTACCTGCTTCTTGGCTTTATTCCTACCAACAGATGCAAAATGTTCCTTTTTCCTACAGCAGTTACACTTATTATATGCTGGATATTTATCAGAATCATTAGGATTATGCTCTTCTTTACCACACCTATAGCATTTAAATTTGGTGGACTGCCGTTCCCTAGGCTTATATGACATTTGCTTATTGTTTTCGTTCAACAGGACTCCCCTCAATAGCTCAGAATGACATCCCATTCTGACTCGATCACGGAGTGCCTCCTCTAGTGCCAAATCCACATGTACTAGCTAAAGATCTTACCCTATGTACAAAACTGTACTGACTGGTTCATCGGCTCCTTGCACGCAACTATAAAAAAAATATCTCATAATAGACATTGAGCGCGGCAATACTTA